CATTGAAATGTTAACTTTTTAAAGCATGGTACTTTCATCAAAGATACTTCAATTTTCTTAGCAGTTATTTTATATTCCTGTTTTATAATAGAAGAGTTTGAGTCTTCTGCTATCTGTGTCTGTCTTTACAGGATAGGATGTTTAAATATTACAGTAAATATTTCTGATTTTTCTGAAAAATATAGATGGAAAATACTTCATGAAAATAAAATTTAACAATTATTTTGTTATTTTGGTTTTGTACACATAGAAATTTACGTTTATAATGACTGAGTTGTTGAGATTGATTTTATACATTTTTGAGGCTTTCAAAAATGAGCTCATTTGAGAGTATTCTTTTAAGCTCTCAAGCAGCTAGCACCAGTAAAATGCAAGCATTATAGGTGTAATTGTTTGAAGTATGGAGGATACATTCTATTCAGTGATTTTCATTGATTATGATTACATCATGTAAAGGACTGGAAAAATATGTTTTGATTACTGTCATTGCTAGGAAAAATAAATGTCTGTATGGGCAGTGGTTAAAGGACAATGATTACAAGTTGTTCAGCAGTATGCCTGCCTTCTTTCATACTGGCTCTTTTTTAGCTTCAGTCCCTTTGCTCACTGGAGAATGATTTCCTGAGGTTTCTCTGATCAAATGAATAAACGGTGAAATAACTTTATTTTATCCTGAGTATTTCAAACAGTACAAACAAGGAAGAAGGGTTCTGGCAGCCTATTCCAATTTTACACCAAGAATTTCATCAGTTTGATGAGTAACTGATGATCAATTTTTGCCTTCCTTTCCATGCCGAAACTATTTGAGTATACATTCAGCATATATTCATTCCTTTGCTAGGAATTGTATACACAGAACAATCAAAGCAATATGTGCCAAATACTGTTAGCTTGGTTTTTATACCATGTCATAAATTCTGATTGAAACAAAGATGATGATTTGATCCATATTTTAAATATTAACTTTCTTTAAAGAAGATACTTTCATTTCCCTGAAATTCTTTAGTCACCGTTTCAACATTTTAAATAGACTGTCTTTAAAACATAACTGGTATAAAATAGCAGCTTTCTATATAGCTACTAATAAGAAATCATCAATATCTGGGACTGTTCCTGACTAGTCATTCAAAATATCCTAGGGCAAGTGTGGTTAAGATGAATTCTGCCAAGTGCACAGGGGATTCCAGAAATCAGGGCTCTCTGTGGGGAAAAATAATAAATGAAGAAAACAGTTTCTAGAGTTAAACTTTGACATAATCATTGAGCCTGGAATGAAGCTTCTGAGATCATCTAGTCTACCACCACTGCTCAGACCGGGTTGGTTAGACCAGATTGCCCAGGATCATGTTCAGTCAGGTTTTGAATATCACCCAGGTTGGAAATTTTCTGTGCAGCCTGTGTGTTTGACCACCCTTTTCTTTCCTCCTGTCAAAATTCCAAATTATTACAGCTTTTAATGCAGTAAAACTTCTGTAGCTAGTAGGTAGAACAAGCCAGACGAGTTAAAAAAACTTGCAATTCTTCTGCCTTGCATTTTCCCTTGGAAAAAAAGCATGACAAAAAAGAAATCGTCATATCTTTGTTGAGACTGAAACAGCTTTTTATCCCTTCCTTTTTTTTTTTTTTTTTCCCTTTTAAGTCTTGTTTCCTTGCCTTTTCTGAATCTTGCTGGAAATTATTGCACTTTACAGAAGGCAGTAGTGTCATACTGCACCTGGCAGTAGTATGCCAGATGCTGCCAGTATTGCCATATGTCTGCCACACTGTATCTGGTTGAGACAAAAGCACCAATTACTGTAAAAATCAAACAAGGGATGGACGTAGAATGTTTGGTGAAGAACCCCATCCTATTTTTTCAACTTCCAAGGTATGAAATCACCATACCAGAAAGTATGGATTGTTTCCAGCCTTGCAGTCTTAGGAAGGGTATCTCTTGCTGACAGTACCTTTCCTTTTGTACTCTGTTTTTTAATGTGGAGATCAAACATGCTGTCATTTCCAAGTTGTTCAGGAGATAACATTTTCTAATTTTCTTTGAAGTCTGAAAACATACATTGGAGCCAGTCTGTTGAAAACCCTCAAAGCACAAAGCAAGACTTTATGTGGTGACAGCTTATTAACAGCAGCATTTGTATCTTTGGATCCTTCACAAAACAGTATTGCCAGGACCTGAAAGAACATTTCTGGATTCCTTTTCTAAAGTCACAAAAGGTAAAATTTACTGTACAAGATGAGAGTCTCCTGTGAAGGATCTGGTTTGCTAAAATTGCTGCCTTCAAAAATTTGAAGTACAAAACAGTATTTTAAAGTGGCTTTTAGGAGGTATTTGTTTTCCAGTACATATGTAAATATATGTATATGCATGTACACACACATACATACAGGTACATTTTGAGGGGAATGGGAGACAGAGGTTAAGTTCTCTTTGGCAAAAGAAAATCCCTTCCTTTTCTAATTCTCAGTGCCAAATTCTGTCCTTTGTAACACCTGTGTAACAGCAGATGCTATAAATAGTGAAAGCTGTATAGAGACACCTATTCTACTTAGCCTTTCAGCTCTAGGAAGCAGATGTACTTACGATAATCCCCATTTCTCTGTACATGAAGGTAATTGTGACAGTACTCAATAAATTCACAGAGGCTCCAACCCTTAGAGTAGCGTCTGCAAAGCTTTCTCTGTTCTTCTTTGTGAAGCTCTGGACTGCTTCTTTCCTCCTTACTGCTGCAAATGCTCCTCACCTTTTCCTAATTGTTTCTTATTTCTCATATGCCACAAATCACAACATTATATCACAACTAATGTAGTTTATTCTACTCTTACCCCATTTTAATTCACCAGGTTAAGGCACAGCAGGTGAGCTGAGTTGCTGGGGACACTGGAAATACCATTAAAGCCAAATCTAAGCTTTTCAAGGTCAGCACTCAGCACTGCAGGGGTGTCTTTCTGTAGATGTTTACTTTGTGTGAGAGTTTAACAGTCACTAATTTCTGCAAAGCTTTGTTATGCCTGGAGTATCTCCTTGTTCTTTTCCACCAAAATTTTGTTTGCAGATGAAGTTCTTTCTCAAAAACCTCCTTCTACCTTGAAGCCTAATGCTGATGGGTAGAAAAAATTACACCAGTATATATATATATATATGTTTAATAATCAGACCCTGGCAATAAATGTCATTCTTAACCCTTTTAAGAATCCTCTGAAATGGACTGAACATTTTTATAAATAAGAACTAATCTATACTGTAACTTTTTACTTTTCAAACGCTTTCACTGAACAGCAGTGATAAAAAATACCTCGTTTAAGTTTTGATTGTTTTCCAGTACATATATAGTGAGGAAGAGTGGAAAAGAAGAGAGAAATGCATTTGCATAGTGGTGTTAAAAATAGATATTTATTAATAGTCCTCTTTAGAAGGAACAAGTAGTTCTATGTCACGAAGTACCAGCTTTGTGCAGATATAGTGACAATAGATGTAGCTATGTATTAAAATATTTTTCTTGTACTGTGTGAAAAATGTATTAGAAACCTTGATAATACTCCAATGCTAGTGTTTTCCAAAAGGAAATATTTCAGCTGATGGAAATGATTGTATTGCTTGCCTTACAGTCCAGAGATAAATCATATTTTCAGTCTTCTGGTGTATTTAGATAAATGTGTTACACATGGGAGATAAGGACATTGCTTGCTTGTGGAGAGGAGTTATAAAAAGTTAGGTTTATTTTGGGCACTGTGATTAAAATCAGGGGTTAGGCAATTTTAAGGTGGTATGCATTTTGTAATAATACGGTAACTATAACTTTGTGCCACAGAAACAGCACTAGATGTATGGTGCCATTCTTATTATTGCTAACAATTGTGCAAATTTGGCTCAATTTAAATATATGTAATGATTTTCTTTATAAATAACCACCAAATTTGCATGCTTTTTATTGTTTTGCTTTGGAGGTTTTTTTGTTTCAGTGTGCATTTTTAAAAGAATCTCCAGTGTACAAGCCAGCACGTAGGACTGTGCTGGGAAGAGCAAAATTTTGATGGAAGAGTTTTCAAACACTTCTGAACTGTGTACAAGGTAGCTCAGGCTAAATACTGATGATGCTGTGTTTTTATTTTATGGGTTTAGAATTCAGTGCCGAAATCACAAGTAAGGAAGCCTGGGATAACTTCATGAAGAAATTGGTGGGGGTTTACCCTTTGCTTCAGTAATTCCAGGCATCATCCAGTGTAGATCTTTTCATGCTTCCGCTAGCCATTTTTCTTTTCCAAATATCTTTGGTATTCACTCTTTCTTACTCTATGTGTTGTTAGGTATTTCCCTTCCAACCCAGACCCATTCAGAAAGCCCTGATTTCAGATGTTTTTATCTCCTCATAAGTGCCTGTGACAAGTTAGTATCCAGCAAGCATGGCTGTCTGACAGCTGCTTTAGTGTACATGGAGATCACAGCCTCCTCCTTGGTGAGCAGGCACTCATCTGAGAGTGTTGCCACATTTAGTGCCATGAAGAGAGCTCTGAGGATGCCTCTGCCCCCAGAGACAGTTGCTTTCTCTGGCTTTTGAGCTTGTTAACACATCACAGAACTACATTAATAAGATACCATGGGAATCCTAGTTTTATAATTCTTGTGTGAATAAATACTGATTTATGATTCCAGAAATACCTGCTCAAGAGCATATATGAGCATTGAATTTGCAATATCGGTAACTGTATACACTGAAACTGATAATATATGGTGGTTTTGAAACTTTGCCAAACTATAAATATTTTTTATGAAGTAAATATCTTAAATGAAAACACTTTTTTTAAAAAAAATCTGTTATGATAAACTGTTTCCCATCACATTTTCTAGTGTATCTTTTTGCATGTGAAACTCCACAGGGATCTGCCTTACTTTGCTGCCCAGAAAGGCTAACTTGTATCAGACCAGTTATCCTGTGCCTTGCACTGAGTCATGTCTTGATACTTGGTAAGCTTGCTGGGTGACTATATTCCATTTTGATTCAAAGGTTCTTGTTCCTGTGACAGAGGGTCTGGACCTGATTGCTACATTGACAGATGATTCTACGATTGCTGCATGGAGTAACGAGGGGCTGCCCCGTGATAGAATGTCAGCAGAAAATGCCACTATCCTAACAGACTGTGAGTGCTGCCCTCTGATGATAGATCCCCAGTAACAGGGAATTAAATGGATAAAGAATAAATATGGAGCTGACCTTAAAGTCGTACGTCGAGGACAGGAAGGGTATATGCATGCTGAAGAATTGGCTTTCATGTTTTACTGCCCCCAAGTTCCTTAATTTTTGTAAGGTATTGGTGTTTGTTGGAATGCACTTACTTGTAGACTTGAAATATTACAACACTGCTGCTTATTTATCCATAGCATCATTTCCCATTTAAAATGGTGTTTGAAGGGGACTTTTTTTAATGCTGTTTTCACGCACAGAGGAAGAAATAAAGTGGAAGCTGAAGTGTGCTTCTTGTGAGGAGCAAATCACTTTTTCAATAGGTAAGGTGCAAAGCATGATGCTATGACCTTACTTGTCCTGTACAGTATAGTCGGCAGAACACAGCACACACACCTTACAGAGGGAAAGATTCAAGCCAGTGTGTGGCATTCAAGGTAAGAGCCAGTATTTGTTGTCAAATTTAGAAAACATCAGAAGCATTTCCTAAGATCTAATTAAGAAACATCTAGATACACATTTTCAGGATGATAATACGAAAAATAAAGGATCTTGTACTCGGTGTAAGAGTATTTCAGTCTGTGATGTTTTCCATCACTTTTCCTGAAAACTTCCAATGTGATTGTTGAGTCTTCAATGCAGCAGTCAGCCTAAAGAATAACGTTGATTTGTAGTTGCATGAGAGTAAACCTCATTAAATGTTTCATCTGATGAACTGAAATGCTGTGATATTATCTCTGCTCAAATGTGAATTTATTTTTAAGCCTGAATTTTTCCTCTCTTTTATTCCTGTTTTCAAATAACACATCAACAAGTTAGACTTTGCATGTTGAAAAATATGTTTATTCTGATAAAAAGTCAGAGATACCCCTGAAGCATTTCTGGATGAATCTCAAATGTTATTCAAAGAGTGTTTAGAGTGCTTGCACAGTTTCAGATTGTTAAAAGAGAAAATATAAAAGAAAGGTTAAATAAAAATTATATTTAGTTTTGGACAGATTATCCAAGCTTTTATCAGCAGGCAACAACCCAACACTACACACCCCCCCCATATTTCAGGCATTGGTGCCTGCACAGTAAATCTAAGCAGTATACAACAGTTCAAATCTTCTTGCACGCATGAAACTCCTGGAAGATGCGCTCTTGCCCTGCACTGTGACATGTTGAAATTATTCCTTTTTGTTACATTCTTCTGTAGTGGTATTTGAAATACTTCAGAGTAAGACCATGTAACTTCCTTCTTAGTATCTGTAGTGAAGAAACTCTACTGAAAATTAGAATTATACGGGTCTATAAGAGAGATCAGAGTTGCACAGGGTAACAGTTCTTTAAGGCATGAGACAGTTGTAAATCAATAAAAAGAAGCTGGGTTTAAAAGAACAAGGGTCACAATGATAGTTTTGCATTTACTTAACAAAGGTTTCCATATAGCACAACAGAGCTGTACAAACACAAATATAGAAGCAATTAAAATATAGGTTCTTCTAGTGAATATTTTAAGTGGTGTTACATGACCTAGCATCCTGTGACTCACTGAAGATGTGGCAGGTCTCCTTTGTGGGGCACTGGTGAAATACTCCTTTATTAACAAATAAGCAGAGTTTTCCTTATTCTGGATTAATTTTTGTTATTGGATTAATTTTTGTTATTTATTTTAGTAGTTGAGTCAGACACTTTGAATTTATTTTTTTTCCTAATAAAGAAAGACTAGAAAGGTATTAGTGATAGATATGGTGCAGTTCAGCAGTTGAAGTTCATTAATAATTGGAATGTTGCAGAGTATGAAGTAATGAATACTAATTACTCCTTTCATGTCTGACAGCACCCTGTAGACCAATACATCAGCCCAGACTTTAATTTGGTTCTAGTAATGGTTTCATCAATAGTACATTAATTCTGTGTTTGAAAAGATATACAGTTGAACCTGACCCACACAGTAGATACCACTGTCATAAAATGGCCACATACTGACAACAACTGGATAATTACAAATAATTAAATCCACTGAGTTTCAGACAATCCTAATTTTTAGTAAAATATATTTTATCATATCAATCGACAGAAAGCATAGCAAGGGAGATTTATCAATTTTTACTTCTTCCAAAGCAAATTTACTGGCCTGCATCTTAGAGAACTTACTGATCTGTGAAGCAGCTTCATAAAAGTATCTCTCCCCTTCCTTGTTTACCAAGATATTTCTTGTGTTGGACTCTTTAGTATTGGGTAACACCATATTCTGTATTGTTTCTGAATGAAGCCTGCAAAAGTAATTCTCACCTTTGGAGAACTTTGAATATACATGTAAATTTATATTTTCCTCAACTCATGGATGATAGTAGGGTGAACTACAGGTATTTGTTACCTGAAAATCAGACTTCTTGTTTAATTCCTTCGTATATATTTAGAAGCCTAACAAGTTTAGGTGTTCAAATTTAGACTTTTTTAAATTTAATTTTGGAGCTGCAAACCTGTTCAGTGGGTCTTAACACACTTTAAACTAAGACCTTGTATTTAAAATGGCTTTAAAATCCTATTTTTATGAAGAAGTATTAGAATATTTGCTTTAAGAAGAGGGAGAAAAGACAAAATAATTTCTAAAATTAAATAATATATTAATATTTTTAATAATAATATAAATAAAATAATTTTCAAAAATATCAGTTATAGTACATAGCTTTCTGTAAGGCACAAGACAAAAACTAAGTAAAATTTTGGTGCAACTTATTAGCATTGTATGCAAAAATGATTCAAAATGCATGTACTTAGATTTTCTGAAGCAGACAAATCAAGGCTTAAAAGTAAACAGGTGCCAATTCTATATGGTGATGGCTTTTGGTCCTTGCCTGCTCTAAGAGGAATGATGCCATTGAATAGGTTTGGTACAGAAAGGCTATAATATTTGAACATTATCTGTGTGTTTCCTCTCCTGTCTCCCTTGCACAGTTGTTTTGGAGATCACTGGATATGAGCATTAACTATAATAGATCAATGTCATTTTGACTCAATGGAAAGTAGATAGAGGAATAAATTCACTGTACAAAAGGACCCTATTTGCATTCACATGAGCTGTTAGACCCGCTCAAATCTTTTGCACATTCACAAAGTGGTAGTCATGTCTCGTCAGTTGCGAGATTAGGTTATTACAAGATTCTTTAAGATGCCTTGAAATTTGATTTATGTGCAAATGTAACTTGTAGGAACAAGTTTCCATTCTTATGAGGCATGACTATTATTCATGAAACAGCAAGACAATTCACTCCGTTTCTCCACAGGGAGAAGCTTTCCTTGCCTTGAATGTCTCACCAGCTGTGCAACTTTAAGGCAGTGCTTTTCCCACTGAACTAGTTTGACCAACTTGCACCATTTGCCTACTGAGATTGCCTAGTAACAGCTCCATTCTGCACTTGTTCCACTCGATTTATTCAACTTCATTCTCTACATTACTTGTTGGATTTTGCAAGTTGGTTCCAGAAGCTTTTAATTTTAAGCAGCAGGAACTGAAAGAAGGCAGGAAACTGAATGTTTTTATCCCTCTTTCTTCACACTGAAAAATATTGTTTCCCTTTCTTTTCCTTTCCAAAAATTTATCACTTCTTTTCATTCTTGCTGAGCCGATCCAAAACATTTGGCTACAGGAAGCTACCCTACTGTCTGCCATTTAGGATCACGGAATATTTTGCAGAACATCTGCCTTGAAAGGTACTCCTTTTGATTTTGAGTTGCATTAAAGTATCTGCTAAGAAAAGTTTTTGCATGAACTATTGTGGCATTTCATTACATGAAGCCATGTTCCCATATTCAGTATTTTTTTGTCTTCATGAGACCCCATCTTTGAAAGACCCAGGCAATGTTTCCTTAGGCAGTACATATGCAAAAGGAAAGCACATCTTTGTGCTGATAACTCAAATTTTGACAGATCATACAAGATGTTCCGCTATTCCTAGACTTCTCATAGCTGAGAGTTCAGTACTCATGTTGGCTTCAGAAATTTATTTGGTTTTATTATTCGCCTTTGCCAAAAATCTGTTGGTTCTCAAAGTGTATATGGGATTTTTAAGGTGTTTTGTGATTCCTTTTATTTCAAGATCTACAAGAATTTCAACAGGGAAAAAAAATTAAAAAAAAAAACCCTAGTGGAGAACAATCTTTCTCTAGTTTACTTTGTATGTTCTTAAATAACAGGGAGATGGAGCTCACGTGAAAGGGGCTCAGTTTTCTCCTGGGTAGAATGGTACATTAATTCAGTCCATTCTATCTGCCTCTGCTTGTGGAATGAAGAAATAAAGATTATGAAGAAAGGTCACCAAAGTAGAACTTGTCTTTAGTAACTTCTTTGGAGACCTTTTTTTTTTAAAATATATGCCTTCTATCATGGTCCATAAATAGTGCCTACATCTGCTACATTTCTTCAGAATCCTGAATTAACCTCTAAATCTCTAAATAGATACATTTCACTGGTAAAAAATGAAGCCATTCTACTGGGTTTCCCCACCTCTGTGTTTATCATTGTTGCTTATACTCCTTGAACCATGTGAAAGCAATAACAAAACATTTATTTTCCCCAGATCTGTAATTAACAAAAAACCTAGAACAGCTGCAGTAATAAAAGCCACTGAATCCTTATGTAATTCTTGCCTTTCATAGATGACAATCACAGAAATTGGTAATTTATTGCTTCTGTGAATTGAACCCATAAAGAACTTAAATCCAGAACTCTAAAGCATATTGTGTTGTCACATAGACCTTCTGAAATACAGTATGACTTCCATAGCAAGGGTTTTTCCACTGACAAAGTGAACTGAAAAAGTTGTCCTGTGTCAGATCTCGGCTTGTCTCTGGTCTCTTTGCACATGTATTGAAAATGAAGTAAAATTTCTCTCTGTGTGTCAAGCTTTACTGCTTTGTTCCCTAGAGCTGTAGCCCATTTTGAAGGCTGTGGAGAGACCACACTATCAGAATCTAAATCCATTGGCAGAACTGGAAGGTGAATTCATGTCCAACTGAGAAAGGCTGCATGATCTGAAGGACATGACTATATGGCTAAATTATGTTGTAATTATACAAGCATAAGCCAGGGAAACTCATCTCCAGTAGTTTGCATGGGAGTACTATAGAAGATAGATACACACCTGATGCTGAGTTATGTAGAGTCATGGGTTTCCTAGAACTATGCATAGTAGGTTCTTTTTAGGACTTTGCTTGTAGTATATCATAAGTGACTGTCTTTTCTTCCTTATCCTTGGTGAAATGCAGAAGCACTTTCAGCATACCATTTCATTTAGCCTGTGTCTTCTGGCTATGGAGATATCAGAAGCAGGCAAGGATGTTAAGAGCTGAAATATATGTCCCTTACTGTTAAAAGTTGTATGGAAAATACTTTTATTCATGTTCTGATGTGAACTGCATTTCATAAATTGCATTTTAAGTGTTTAGTACCTACACTATTGCAATCACTTTGAAGATTGATTTGACTTAACAAACGTCAATTAGAATTTTGTGAAAAGGGTTTGTGTCTACCTATGCTCCGTTGTATAAATGTTCTACTGACTTCTTTTAAACACAGTTTTGTTGCTAATGTTTGAATCTTCTTTTTTGGCAGAGAACATTCAAAGCCATTGCTGTACATAAAATAGTGTACTTGTGCTCTTGTGTGGCAGGTGATGGCCGAAGACTGGCATACTGCTCACTGTGCAAGTAGATAACAGAAAGTTGTGGCGTCTGCTCACACCACACGCTGTGGCACACACTGCAGACTATAAGCACTCTTTCTATTTATTTAGGTGCTGAGCCATCAAAGTAGGAAGTACTACTGATACTTCAGCAGTAGTAGTGTTGCTGTATGGGAGAGGCTAGAACTTCTCACGGAAGGCAAGTGGTCAGGAAACGACATGTCTAGAGTAAGGCATTGTGTTCAGTGAATAAAAGGCAAACCTGATATAATTAATTCTTTCACTCAGCAAATCATTGTTTCGGAACACAACATTTGTCAGATTGACTTAAAAAATTATTTTTATCATTTCAGTCATGAGCCTTTCTCCATCTTCTCACTACCAGTTTGTTATAAATATATGCATCTGGGTAGTTTTTTAGGATTTACTGCTAAGCTATTTCAAAAGATGGAAAAGTAAGCTATATTTAAGGAAATGATTGTAAGAACTAACAGCTATCTCATTAAGGGTTGTTTGAAAACTTTCCTAAGTTTTTGGTAAGTAATGAAGATAGATGTTTTCCCCTAAACCACAGACTCTTCAGTACAGCAGTGAATAATCTACTGGTGTCTGCTGTATATGCAAACGAACTGATGCCAGTTAAGAAATGGTTTGTGTATTCTTCATATAATTTGGTGTGTTTAACCATTGTCATTTTGTTTCTTAAGCTGCAGGCACCTAAATTTTGGATTGTAACCACTTCCTATATTGCCAAGATCATTCAGTGCCCATCTTTTGCAAGCTAAGTCATTTACATCTTTCTAAATTCACTGAGATCCCCATTCATGTGCATTTTATTCCTTCCCAGATATAACAAGATTAAAGACAAAGAATATGAATTTGACAAGAATTTCCACCTCATCCTTCACACTAAACTGGCTAACTCTCACTGCAAGCCAGAACTGCAAGCTTAGACCATCCTCATTAATTTCACTGTCACCAGAGATGGGCTGGAAGACCAGCTGTTGGCTGAGACTGTTAGTGCTGAAAGGCCAGACTTAGAAAAACATAAGGTTAAGATTATATATTGACCTGTCCATTGCCTCTTCTGAGATTTTAAGGCTAGTATTAATGTGCTTGCTTGGATTAATTGTTAGTAAACCATGTATTAGAAAGATTTTAAAGACCAGATTCTGCAATGTGTAGAAAGTACTTCTACTAATTTGCTCAAATTCATGCTCCCAGAGGGCTAGGCTTGACCTAAAGATCTGCTAGAAATTAAACTTATCATGATCTTATTCCCAGACTTCTCTCTACTGCTTGGTTTGCTCTGTGCATTGCATTTAATTTACAGAGCAGGATTAAAGCCCTCTGCTCTGCTTTGTGCTTCAGGGATCTTGAGCCAGTAAATGTGAATAAAATTTCATGCTAGTCCATAAGAGGATATAACGACACTGTTAGGACTTGGGGCATTTGATTAATAAATCATAATCTTTTCGTGCAAAGATGCAGTTCTGTGGCTGCTGCAGGCATGTCAGTGTATAGTAACTTAAGAAAAACACTCTTATAGCTGGCTATAGAAAGGACAATGAGCAGGCTGTGATCTATCAGCTAAAAAATGAAAAAAATATTTAAGAGTGTGAAATGAATCATAACATTTCCCATTTCTCTAGTGTGTCTTTCCAGTTATTTCATGTAATTTACTAACTTCATCCACAAAGATTTGCTACATCTCTTTGAGGTACTGCTGCCTCATGCAAAGGTAAACTGGGTGAGAGAGTTTAATTACCCCTTGAAGACTGAAAGCCATATACTTGGAAACACGAGCTGAAAAAGCTGTCCATGTTCCTCTGCATCTACACATCATTCCACACAGAGTTGTGTGCTTACAGTACCTATATCATCAAGGGGGTTTTGGTGTGAGGGCCAGAGTCTGATGGAGAGTTCCCTGTAAGACTAGTCACTCTAACTGTCAGAAGGTCAGGCCAGCAGAGCAAACTATGACCATGCTTTCCCACACTGCTTGCTGATGAAGTGGGGGTCTCCATCCTGGTGATATTGTTGGTTTTCTCAGCTGCCACATGGATTACCACTTGCCATGTCTGGCAAGAGACCAGTCCTTTTTATATAGCCTTAGGAGGAAGAAGGCTAAGAGAGAGCTGGAGTCCTGGTCCACATTGAGCTTGACTTTCTCTCTTTGGGTGTCTCAAAACCTTAGTTCTAGTGTATTGGGACAGAAGATAAACTACCTCTTTCACAAATTAAATTTAATCAAATGATGTAATTAAACAGAAAATATAACTCACAAATGCTATAAAAAAGAATTTCTGGCTGTGGTTGTTTAAATGCAGTGTTTTCATTCCTTCTGCTAGTCAGTCCTGGTCAAGCAGCAGAACTATTTCGAGACTGAGCTCGGGCAACTGGAGGATGGCATGCTGCTCAGCCTGTCAGCTGCCCAGGGCAGTTTCTTAGACAACAGTGAAATTGTAGAGAAACTCATACCAACAAAGTCAACTGCAGCAGAAATACAGCACAAGGTAATAACAATGGAACTATTTTTAACCACTTGAAGTCACCTGTAAAATGTCTGTTATTAATTATTTTAATGAAGCATTTCTGTAAGCTAGGAATAGTCAAATTCCTGTCTATACAGCAAGGGCTGTCCACCCACTTATTCAGAGTTCCATATCTACGGTATGTAGTTGTCACATTTTCATGGGTGTTTTTCCTTTTGACTTAAGTGCTTGAGTTAGTATTTGTCATGGTTCAAGCGCAGCCAGCAACTTGGAAGCACGCAGCCACTCGCTTACTCCCCCACCACCCCCTTCTTTTCTCCCCCTGCTCCTAGAGGGATGGGGAGGAGAATCGAAGGAATATAATTCCCACAGGCTGAGATAAGAGCAGTCCAGTAACTAGGGTATAATATAAACCACTACTGCTACCAATAATAATGATAAGAGGAATAACAAGGGGAGAGGACACAACCGCTCCCCACCTGCCAACCGATACCCAGCCCGACCCAAGCACCGATCTGGGCCTTCCGGGTAACTCCCCCCAGTTTCTATACTGGCCATGACATGCTGTGGTATGGAATATCCCTTTGGCCAGTTTGGGTCAGGTGTCCTGTCTCTGCTTCCTGCCAGCTTCCCCTCCTCCCTGGCAGAGCATGAGAATGTCCTTGCTCAGAGTGAACATTACTGAGCAACAACTAAAAACTTCGGTGTTATCAGCGTTGTTCCCAGGCTGAAAGTCAAAACCACAGCGCTGCACCAGCTACTAAGAAGGAGAAAAAAATGACTGCTGTAGCTGAACCCAGGACAGTACTCATAAAAGAAGTAAGTATCAGCATGGAATACGAACAAATGTATTCTTATATGATTACCATATTTTCACAGGTAAACAGGCATATTGCTGCAGAAAACAGTTGTTCTCTAATGTTTGTCTAAGATAAGAAGCTTAATTACCTTAAATATTTACTACTCTGTGAAATAAAGTCCATTTTCTAGAGTATATCCATATGCATTTTTGTATGGATAGGAAAATGCTGGTATTTGTATGGGATAAATATGGTGCATTAAAAAATAAATACAACTGTCATCCTATAGATAGCTGAGGCCAAAGAAAATGAAGCTCAGACTAACGTGACAAGAGAGCACTACAGACCAACAGCTGTAAGAGTGTCCATTCTTTGTTAGTAGCAGCCTGGGCAGCTCCAACACCATCTACCAGTTTTCACTGAAGGTAAAAACTTATCTTGCTGTATTTGGTTTCAAAGTGTGAAGAACAGAATTCTGCTTCCAGCAGTGATGTCCGATACATTAGTTATCGCTTGTACCAGATGTTTACATTTTCAGGGCTGTGTGTCTGAGAAAGGAGAACATAATGTGATCTTCTGCTGGTCGATAATGCAGTACATTCCTATGGGTATCTTCGACTGTCTCCATTCTGGCAGTGCTTTCTGACTGTTCTTGCAAAGTTTACCTCTTTCGTGTTAAGCTATCCCATAGGGTCAGGCAGGAAGAGTTTTGAGGGATTCTGTATATGTATATTCTGTATATGTTTGAGGGATTCACTGTGGCAAATCTACCAAATGATCTAATGCTATGAGGAAGGGACATAACCTACTGCAAAATTACCATCTTGCTTAAGTGAGAGCTTCTGCCTGCCAAGTTAAATAAAGAAGCAGAAGAGTATTGCCATTTTCAGCCCTCACTACTGGTTTGTGGAAGGTTTCCTCAAAAGCCTCTTGGCAGAAGAGCTTTGCATTTTAGACTGCTTATTCCAGCTCTTCTTAGAAGCCTACAAGTAAAAAAGAAAAAAAGCAGAATTCAAATAAATTAAAATAATTGTACATATTTTCAGGCCTTCAATGCAGTCTCCCACAAATTAAGCAGGCTGAAAAATCAGGATATTCAGTGTCATTTCTCTAACATGACAGAAGCTGTCACATGTTCAGCCTTTCTTTTCACAAGCCAGGGACATTTTAAAAAGGATCAGCTCAGTTCCTTGGCCCAAACACCTTTTCAGGTGAGGAAAAATTTTCAGATCAATGATGTTGATATTTACTGGCTTTGTTGTTTCTTCACTAGAAGACGATGCCTCTGCCCAAGCAAGTTATCTTGTTACCCTGTGGCTGTGTAGCTCCTCACACCATGTGACTGTTGTCTCAGTATCAGTAATAACTGCAGAAATTCCAAATATGCTTTTATGTAATTCTTTTAATTTAAAATGCTGCAATGACTTCACAAAGCTACACTGAGGATAAATGGCATGACTTAGCTGCTTTTGGTTGGAGAGTTGAAATTAATGTGGCATGTAAAGTAAGAATTCAGTAAATAATACATATCCGTATCACATTCAGGGTTTTATTTTTCCTTTTAGCTTTAGTATCTATATGCCCTGAAAAAAAACCACAGGGCTCAGTTGTACTGGGTGGCAGGTGTTACCCTGAAGAGCTTGCTCCAAAAGAAGTTGTGTCACAAAGCTGGTCAGTACTAGAGGCAGGAATTAAACTAGAAACCAACAATTTGGGAAGAAGGTAAAAAACTGAGGAATCTGATTTGAGGGGGGATAGGAAAAACTAAATCACTCTATGCAGTGTATAAATGGGAGTAAAAAGCAGACAGAAATGTCTGGAAGAGAAAGAAAAAGAAAGGAGGGGAGGGAAGAAAACTGGTGATGACTTCTCTGCATCATGGTACAGATGGATTTATTCATGTCACTGAGCTTTGTAGTAGTGTGCTGCTTAAATTTTGGGGGGTTTTGTAGCAGTGGTACTGGGATGGATCATAAAGAATGGAAATCTATAAAGCAAATGAAAAGTTAACTTAATCCCAATTACAGAGTACACAGAAGCCAGAGTAAAGGGCACAATAAATAATAAACTTCTGATTTATTAAATATGTTTTTAGTTGGAAAGAAAGGGACTTTTGATAGACGAAGAAGGATGTATTTATATCAAAAAGAAAGGAGAATACATGGTATAATGACAAAGGTGTCTCTTTTTCCCACTATATATGGTTAAAGTGATAAACGAACTAGAAAAAAACTTGCAGAACCCTGGAGTTTTCTTCAGTATACATACTGCTCATGTGCTAGAACTGATTCAGTGCAAAACAACCCCCAAATAAACCCAAATAAAACCCAACAACAAAAACTGTTCAGTATTAGCAAATTTCCTGAAGTTTTGTGACAGCTTGCAGTCTGAAGAGGCTTAGAATGGTGATAGAAACAGCTGTGCACTATTTGTTCTTCTGTGTATTTTCCAAGATAGAAAAAGGATATATAGAGATAATTAGATGGAATTCAGAAATCTGTGCTTTTTCAGTAGTATTAGCATAAAATAATTGTAGCCAAATTTGTCTAAGGTTAACTTCAGTGTGCAAGACTTACATATCTATGTTTGTTTGTTTGTTCCCACAAGCCAAAGAAAAATAACTGCTGTTATTGGCTAACTCACCTTAAAATTTGAGTGAATTTGTCTTTCAGTACGGAAATGTATTATCATAGATAAGAATGTATTTAGTGTGTATATAAATAATATATATATGCAGTTATATTTTCTGCAAAAAAGTCTTCACTGACAGGTTGTGCTTGGTTTTCATGGTGTCATTTTTAAAAGGTAAAGGAAAGTTCAGCTCTTTGTGTATGTAAGAATGGTTCTGAAAAAAAAAAGTCACATTCTTTAGTAACTAATTTCTAAATATAATTCTATTTGCAATAGATTTCAAACAAATATTTCAAAACATCATTTAAATATAATTCAAAAGATGCAAATTCTTATGTCAGAGTTTCAAAACATGAAGCCGTAGGAATTCTCATTGCTTTGAGCTCCCTACTCAGTAGTGCTTTGAGCAGTGAATACTTTAAGGCAGAAGTGGCTCTGAAGCAAGTCTGTTGACCTTTTTCAATTTTGTATGCTGTGAAGATTCTTCTAAGAAGTAGAGAGATAGAACTCCTTGAATCGGATTTCCTTCTCTGGTTCAGAGTTGAACACACTTACAAGAGTCCTGTTGACTTCTTAACTACTCAGTCATGGAGTGCCATTAGGGTAGGTTGGGAAAATTGCTTTTCAGTTCTAAATCTTTTCTGATGTTATTTCTGGAGGCATGCTACAGCTAGACAATTTCAGATAAAGCCATACATTCCACCATAATTTTTAGTAGAACTAGTGATGCTTTTAAAGAGGAGCTGTCTCCACCTAAGAACACTTTGTTTAAATACACTTAAAACATGTATTTTTCCTTAGACATCATGTACTGTGTATTGCGAGGAAATTGTTTTACCATCATTTGTCCAGTTCCCTAAAAATATAATTTTGATCTTCATATGACTCCTTACAATAATAAATGTTCCATATGAGGTTTCCAGTTTGTTGTATCTTGGTGTTTAACAAGCAGACAGTACGGTAATACTGACCAAAGTAAACTCTTATCAATAATATTATTTGTATATGTATATATATATATAACTTAGTATTTTAAGGTAAATTGTGAGGCCCCTGTAATTGGTTAAACTATGCCTTTTTATGTACCCCCAAAAGTATCCATATTTGTCTTCCCATTTCAGTCTTCACACAGAAGGTACACCATCTGTATTTGTCTTTAACATGCTTCCAGTCTATGGCAGTGATGAATGTATTCAGGGGGTTAGATAAAGATACTGAAAGATCCACCAAGAGGTTAAAGAAGTGGGTAGACTCAGGATGCCCAGAAAAAAAAAAGCTTCCCCAGGAATGGACAAATAAAAGCTCTTTTCAGAAACTAATTGTACTAAGGGCACTCCATCTGAACAGAATGACATATGCACTTAGGTATGAAATCTCAGGGGCATGTCTTTCAAGGCGGGTGTGTGTGAGGGTGGTTTGCATGTGTCATATACAAAACTCAGATCTTAAGCAAACAACTCATAAAACTGAGTGATTGATCAGAATTTGAAGTCACTGAGTGTGGTTCTTAGCCTGTTCTCCTGACGAGGAGTTTATGATCAGGTAGTGTGGTGAGACATGAGTCTCAGCGTATTTGGAGAGCTATGCTTGTGATTTCTTTTAGGTTGCATATAGGTATCCCAAGGAAAGTGCTCATTAATAAATGGAAATATACCAACCTATGCTATTAATAGCTAAAAATTAATTTCTAAGTGTTAGTTCTTATTATGCTATTAGGGCTGGTAGCTACCTGCATGGAATGACAATTTTTCACATCTCCCTTCCTTAAAATTCTGTAATACCAAGAAAGATTCAGCTGTGGATACTTAGGGATCTTCTCCCAGCTGTTTTCCAGTTGCACTGTTTTGATCTTTTGACCCCAAGTGATGGCCTCATAGACCTGATCCTGAACACCCCACTATCACAACTTTTATCCATGTATGTGCCTTCTGAGAATCCAGGTTTTATGTTCTGGATGTTTATTCTGCCCAGCTGCCCTGGTCTTATATGATAGTATTGCCTGTGTATAATGACTTCTTGGAATCAATTGTTGAAGAGGTCCTCTCTCCAGAAGTTGCTGTTTTCTGTCACATGGCTTAGAGAAATGGAAATTACTGTCTTCTCACTTGCTTCACCTCCTGCCTCCCCTTCTTGCCTTCAGTTCACTTCCCTGACAATTTCTTTGATGAAACGACTGTTCGATCGTCTCTGTCAGCTGCTCTGAGAATGGTGTTTAGTGCATGTTTATTCGTGTGTATAGGAACTTCATGGAGGAAAAACTTGGCTCAAGGTACATGGAAATCACAAGGATGTGCTTAGCAAAATCCTGTGAAGAGAGTAGTCCAAGCCACTCCTGTGTTATTTATACTGCCTCCAGGAGCAGACCCACTTGAAGATACTGAGACACTAAGTAAGCCTCTTTTTTGCTTCATGTGCAAGGACCATTCAACTGTCCTCCCATTAAAGAAAGAAAAATTGAGCTTGAAAGTGAAATGGAGCATGAAGGGCTAGAAATGTAGATAAATTGATATGTGATTATACACTTGTGTGTATGTGCTTGTACACATATATGTGTATGAGTGTATTTTAACTAAACAGAACAAAGTCTTCTGGAATAATCTGTTACTACAAAGGAGCATATATTATTATGAGAAAGTTGGGCACAGTTTATTTTCAGCAGAAGATTCAGATTCTAAAGTTTCTCCTCCCCTCTCCCCATATTCATGGTAAATGGGGTGGATGAAAAGTGTAATGCCATAAGCACTGTAGTATGAAGAAATTTTCAGACCAAGTATTCCTCTGCTTGGCATAATGCAGTTTTCCTTTGTACTGTTTTCTACCTTTTGACTAGATGAGGGCCAGAGGGCAATTTTCTCCATGCTCATGTAATCTTGTGCCCCCTGTGACTAAATAATGGTCATTATACAAACTATATTCAATTGTATAGGGCTCTGTGGCTTTATACTTAGGATTACTATTCCCCACAGACAATAGTGAGAATACCAGGTTAATACAGCTGTGACCTCACTGTGTTCAATTTAAACTCAAGCCTCACAAGGTGAGAGGCTTGTGCATTTACCCACTGAACCAATCAGTTAAAAAACTGATGTGATATCTACCACATGTTGCTCTCTTTTTCATAAGGGAATTGCTCTGTACCCCCTGTAAGAGTTTCTAAAGCTCAGTAACAATGCCTAGCATCTATCAAAATGTCAAAAGGTTCATTATCTTAAAACCAAGGGAACAGATTTCTGCAGGCTTTTTCTAATACCAGCAATAAGGCCACTGTTGAGAGCTTGCAATTTTGCTTGTTGAAATTGTAAGGATTTAGTGAAGTACTTCAGAAGAAGTAATATGCATTGCACAAGTGATAGTGAAATTAATGGGGGCATTATCATTCTTTTTCCTTTCTGTTTTGCAAATTTTCCTGTCTCCTCCCCCTCTGTCACTCACCCTTCCCCAATTATTTCTTTTACAGGCAAAAAACTTGAGTTCACTGTAGACTCTGGAAGATTTTAACACCTCTATAGGACAAGGCCGGGAGATGGTTGCAGAGAGGCACTTGGAAAGGCTGCCAGACACGACCATCAGGTTCTTTTCTAAGTGAGTGTCAAACAGTCTTTCTGATAGGGACTGTCTCCTCAGTTGGAGGGATATTCCCAGAACACAAACAAAACAAGCGGTGGGTTAGAGCAAAAGTTTCAAACAGCTAATAATCTTGCTCTTTTTTGCTTTTGACTGTAACAAAATAAACATATTAATAAAGTGTATGTCATGTTTTGCTGAACACTCCTCACCCTCCCAGGAGGAATAGGAGAGATACAACAGAAAGCCTCTGGCGGGTAGGTAGGACTGTCCTCAGGCATACGCTTTCCCTACATAATTAAGAGCTCCTGTTCCGTCGACTGGGCCATAATGGAGACTTGAATGAAATGGGTCCAACTGCCTCTTGGGAAGCTGTATAATTAACCCTGGAGTGCTGCTTTCCTGAGATAGCAGCCGCAGCTTTGGCCAGCATTGTATGGACCAAGAACCCACCCTGCAGCACACACAAAGATCTGTGCAATTCCCTGGTGAGCTGCGGTTCCTGGCGCACCGTGGACAGGAGCACTGCAGTTGTTAATGCTACTTTATGCTAAATAGCCAATGGACATTTGTAGCAATCCCTTTGCCCTGAAGCCAAACAAGAAATGCATGTTCCAGGACTTGATATTAAGGAGGTCATGGGAATAGGGTGATTCCTGCCTCCTTTTAACTTTAGTGACATTTGGCTGTCAACCAAGTTGCCTGAAACAAACGAAGGGATGGGCTAGATTTAGTGTTGTTGCCAGCTGAAATAAAATCCCTGAGGGATTAGTGAGGGGCCTTCATTTGCTAGGTGTTGTTCAAACACAAAGTGACCCCTTCATCAACAGGGAAACTGGAAGAATTCTTTAACCAGATTTTGCACAAGTAAGCTAGTCATGCAGTCTGAAGATGACCCTGCTTTTCTGCTAGTAAGTACCGAAATGTTGTGAAGGAAAGAACAGAGGTGTTTTGGGGGAGCATTTCAGAGTTCTCACCTGCTCTGGGGACAGGGCAAAAAAATGGGAGATGGCAGAGGGTCTCAGCATTGTTGTGTGTCTGAAGCCACAGGGATACATGGGGAACACCTGAGAGGCTTCTGGTGTTACAGACCTGCTCCATTTTCCAGCCCATTATGGCTGGGTTCTGAGACAGGAGGGAGGTGATGGTTTTGCTGTAAAGATTTTTGGTAGTGAAGGATTGGGAAATTCTGAAAGGAGACTATATAAAGCTGTTGGACCAAATCCCGAATGGTGCTAAGCTAGCTGGAGCTAGAGGGATTTGGATGTACTCACTGCTTCTCAAGCTTCAGTCTTCTGGGGTTTGGTCCAAAAACCCTACATGTTTGTGTTTAAAAAAAAATCCTGGAGCAAAAAGATGATGTATTTTAGTATGCATTTTGTTGGAGGCTAAGGGCTGTATAATTAGATGGTTTAAAAAAACCCTGCTATTCTGAATGACCTGGGAAATACTTTAAAAATTGCTTTGGCTTCAGACCTAGCAAAACCAGTTGGCACAGAGGTTAGTAAAATGGCAGAAGAAAGACTGGCTTGAAACTTTTTGGTAACAGGTTTAACTATTCTGTCACTCTTAATAATTTCTCAAACTGAGACATCTGATATATCAAATGGTTATTTTGTTATTATATTAAGGCTTGAATCACTTCCACTTTGCAGTGGTTGGATATAGCCTATATGAAAATGTTGGCGCTGCCAGGCTGATATGTAATGTGATGTAATATGAAAGTCTCCCTCTCTTTCCATTCCCCTATTCCTTTCTCCACATGTCAAGGAACAATTTGGGAATACCTTTTCAGCAGGTCTCTTGATAAAGTGATGCAGCAGCCAGAGCATGACTGACATGTCCTTGACATATACCTTGGCTGGTATATGGAGCTGTAATTCCTCTTGCACTGCACAGAGATGGAAACCAGTGCAATCAGCAGGTTCTTGCACAGCAGTGAAAAGCCAGAGCGAAACTGCATGGCTGAGCTGCAATTTGAGTCAAAGTGCAAGTACTCTAACAAATAAAAGTGTGGGCTAAAAGAGGGGTGAAAACAGCTGTAGCCCAGCCACATTTCTCTTGATACTCCCATATTTCACAGGCAGGTGCTTTGGAGGCAGATACTTTTCCATTATAACTCACTTCTCTGATCTATCAATGACTTTCCACTGTCATCAAAAATTAAGAACCTTAAAGATTATTAGAGTCTGAAGTGGTTTGAAATGTATTTTTTAAGTAGCAGGATAGCTGTAAAAACTTTTCTTTGTTTAGCAGTTCTTCGGTCTTGCTCCTGTTATACATTGGACATGTTTTGTCTTAGGTCCCAGTTCTCCAGGGAATTTGAGTAGAGTCCAGGTGTCTGCTGCGTTATGCTTACCTTTAAATGTGTTAACACCCACACCCCCAGATTCCTTAATCCTGAGTTTATAATATACTCCTTAGCTTCAGAATCAAGGCCTGAAGCTTAAGAGCTAATGGTGATACTTCTGCTGTTTCAACACATAACAAGAAATGGCAGAAGCTAAGAACCTTCAAGTTTATTTTTTGTACTAGGCAACTTACTTATGCCAGCAAAGCAGACCACTATAAACGCAATCGTAACTGTACATGTTAGCCTTTCAGCAATGTACTAGCATATATTTATTTAAGCATAGAACACATGAAGGCAGAGCTTGGGGTAAGAGAAAAGAGTAAAAGTTTATTTAGAAGGGAATTCTGCTAACCAATACCTAGAAAAAAGAGTTGTGCACTAAAACAGCTGTGTCAAAGCTACCTTGGCTAGAAATTGATAGATTTTAGTGGTATGTGGTGATCTGGAAAGATGTTTCTGAGAAAAGAAGAATGACTGTGGTTTTGTAGCTAGACAGACAACTATTAATGCAGCAATTTTCTTCTTTTTTATATAACAATATATTTAATGGGTTTTGTACCTTATAATAATAATATTTTTAATGGAAAACTGGAAAAGCTAGACAAAGTTTTTGATAAAGTCAATCCATACATATTGTTGTCCCAATTCAGGCTATGTTTAGGTCAAGAAATTAATTTTTTTATTTTTATATATATATGTATGTATTTTAATTAGCTAATTTCTAAGCTTGATACTTGAGAACTCTCTTTTCTCCTCCATTATTTTGAGCCATAACTGTTTGTGGCTTACTGAAAATGTCTGTATAGACACTGTCTTTAATCTCATTAATATGTTTCTGGTTAAGGTATCTTAATTTTAGGGGGGTGGGGGTGTGTAATAAGAAAATCCAACTATGCCTAATCCAGGTGGAGTGTTTTCTTCAGCATAGAAACTTGTGTTGTATTTTTCACAGTTAAACTCAGGATTCTGATTTAAGGAGGTTTTTTGTCATACATAAAACTTTTAACATTTATTCAGGCTTTGCTACCTGTTGTTCAGTACAGGATGACCTATTTCCTTTTGACAGCTATGAATTTATCCCTCTGAAGTTCATTCCACAGATCTATGTTTTTAAGGGCATCAAAAGTCACTTTGTAATGTCAATTACTTCTTAAAATTAAAGATAGGCTCTAGGAAACTGACAGAGAATTAATTTCTGCATGTTTTATAGGAAAATGCCAAATAGTTTGTCTCGGTAATTTAAAAACCCTGAAGACCTGCACAGAATCTCACCTTGCTGAGATTCTCTATGAACACTATAAACAAAGGTGGCAAAAAATGCATTATTAAACGTAAATTTCAAACACGACTCTTTGGAAAACAGTGTAAAATTTGAAGGAATAGTATGCTTTTTAATAAATGTTAAACTGGCAACTTGTCATAAAACCTGTGGATGATTTATGCTAGGAAACTATAGTGGTTATCTGAGTAATATTTATAGAATTCTAGTTAAAGTCTCTATTTTTATTGATTTCAGTAGCATAATGGTTATCCTTTTCTAAGGGGCATTTGGAATAAAAAGGTAACCCATCAACACTTCTGCATCTGGGAATTACTATAGAAAGTACTGCCTAATATTCACTGATCACTAAGAAACCTGGTTCTCACTCTCCTTCAAACTCCAGGCTTATGAGTGCTCCCTTTCGGCAGCTGAGGCAGCCACAGCTATTGATAACACTGCCAGCTGTTAATCAGATACATGTATTCCTTTCGTCTTCAACAGGATACCCTTGAACTGTGTACCAGAGATGGGGAATTTAAAAGTGCCCCCTTTTTTTTTCTCTGCACTATTTTCACACTGTGTTGCTGGGAGACTGCAGTTTGGCCCTTGGGACTGGAATGGAAAGAACCCGTTCAGTGCTAGAGAACTTGCCGTCTATATCGCTGTCTTCTGCAACTACTTAGAGACCCCTACAAAGGTAAGAAGCAGTGGTCAGGTAACCACACACCAAGGTCATTTCAGCTCAGTCAGCTGTTTGTATTGAACGAGTGGGGAAAAATTCTGTCTTCTGAAACTGCTATTTAAGTGGCTGGCATGGTACAATGCTATTGCTGAGTATGAAAATAAACCAGATCAAAGGTGTAGGGGGGGTTTCTGGCAGTGGATGCTTGAACTTTGTAATATAGGTCAAACCAGTTCCACATCAGTAGCTAAGGGGGGAAAAAATGCCCTTCATTATGTTAACAAAAACAGTGGTTTACATGTGCATATATGCCAAATTCATTAGGCAGGTAATGAAGCATTTGCACAAATGTAATTACATACAGCAATTCTGACAGTTCATAACACTGCATTAATAATCACTACAATTAGTTCTGATGATGGAAGCAATTTACAGCACGTCACATGTATAAATAATGGTGCATTTCCTGCATGTGTCATTATTATGTATTAAGGATGCCACCTTGTTGTGACTTTCTCAGTAATGTTCCCCTTGAGTCAAAGTTAAGGGTAGATGAGTGATTTTATTTCTGAGCTACAGCATATTTCACACTTGTATAGTTTAAATACTCAGTTGAGGTCATTTATATAAGTTCTGTATATGAAATGCTTAAATAAAGGAAATATTATTTATCACTGAATGACATAGGATAGCACTAAGTAGATTCTCCCATTCTAGTAGTTAAAGAAATTTAAGAGATATTTATAAAGACAAAAAGAAAGGGAAATGTCACCCCTTGATGATATTGTTTTCTTCATATCTCCCAACTTGTATTTACTCTTCGAAATTAATTTTCCTTTATTCTTCTTACCTCTACTGACCTTTATTTAGCTAATAGGACATGAAACTGTTTTTCCTTTCTGTCATATTTGGTGTCGTAGTGAAATAATTGCTTAATTTTATAGTGACGATTTAATAATGCTTCCCTTTTAGAAAACAAGTCTATAAAATAACCTTATTCCAACCCTTACTTTTCTCTGCTAATAAATCTTGCTGATTTAAGCTCTGTTCTTTTCAAACCAGCATTCATAAACTGGATAATTAATTTTGCTAATTAATGAAAGGGAGGATTCTGATGGCAGGGAGGACTTATTGGCCCTTCTCATTGTGTTGGTTACCCTGTGGCTTTAAAAGCATTTTTTTAACAGAGATACCAGAGGGAGAAGAGGTATTATAGCTTTTAAAATGTGGCTTTGTGAGTATATACACATATTTATGACTGTGTGTGTACATATATATGCACACACATATATACAGATTTATAAATTTAAAAAATCTCCCAGTTGAGTATCCCTTTAGGACAACTTTGCTTAAGCCAATTAAAGATTGATCAGAAAGTATAAACTGGGAAACCTGAGCTAGCCCACCAGCTAGTGGAAATTGCCTTAACTCCAGTACCAGTTTATGGTGCTTTATCACTTGTACCAGTTTATGGTGCATTATCACTTGTACCAGTTTATGGTGCTTCCCTGTGAATATTTACTCTTCTTGCATCTCAGTTTGACTTAACTCATTGTCCTGTTGCTAAGACAAACTCCACCACACTCACCTGTGAAAGTTAAGGTCTCCTCAGGTGAAGATGCCTGATCCTGCCTCATTGTGCCACTCTTCCCCTCTGCCTTCTGATTCCCCTACACATATTCATGGAGTTATTGTCTGATATTGTGAGGGGGATGTGAACTCCATCCTCATCATATCCATTCACTGAGCAATGGCTCAGTGGTTTTTTGAGTTCAACAGACCAGTTTTCTAGAGAGTACAATGGCAATTATGCAAACCTGACAGCCCAAAATATTTCTAAAGCAATCCCCTCAGTTTTCTCACACTAGCAAAAATGTCCCTTTTATATCACCAGCTTTGATTATCCCAGTGTAATCAATGCCCCAGAAGTGTGCAGCTGAATGAGCTTGTATTGAGTTAGAATATTGATATTCTCTTCTAAAACACAAAGGAAAAAGTCATTCTTCATATAAATATATACGAAATTAGAATAACTTTAAATGTGTTTCTGTTGCCAAAAAGAGAAAAGCGGGTTTATTCTAACTGCAAGAACGTTTCATTCTAAATCCAAGTTGTTGGCATTTTTCATAGGGATTGTCTGTTCAGGCTTCCCATCACCAGCACACAGCATTGCATATTATATACCAGTGGCTTTTTTTTTTTTTTTTATTTTCTCCTTTTTTCATTCTCTTTAAACCAGTTTAAAAGAGAGATGGATTAGAGTTTCACATATTCAAATTGAAACAAACTTGTGGCAAGCTGGCTGGAATAGCTGCTGCTATTTTACTTGTTCTGTTCTGTCACATCATGCAATATTTAAAGTCTGTAATTAAGTAAGTTTTTACTTGAACTGTTGGGAGGCAAATACTGCCCCCAAGGGCGTAAAGGTTCCTGTCTGGAAAGGCTTCATCACAAACTGACATATTTTGCAAACGAAAGGGTTGCAAAAAAGAAGCTTCAAACTCTGTGAAGCCAAATAAAAGAGAAAGACAGTAGTTCCTTGAATCAAATGTTTTGCTACTGTTAACCACATGCTATAACAGTGGCATTATGACTAGAGTTCTACAATAACCATAATGGTTATGCGATGTGGTAGTAATGGGATTAATATTAATTCAATTTTTACTGAAGTTCTTGAATACATCCCAGATTCAAATAATGTAGAATTTCAGTTACTGAGTGTTTCCTAGTGAGGAGATATAAAAGCCTGCAATCAGATACAAGTTTTTTATTTCTCCTCTAAGAAAGGCACAGTAGGTTACCTTCCCGTCACTCATGAGGATTACGTTTTTAAAAGTCTGTTTGGGAAAATGCATGCACTTGTTAATGAGTTATGTTCTTTTATATCATGCAGTGTTTTGAAAACGTACTTTTCTCTCAAAAGCTTTCTATAAGGGATAAGGTAGAAAACATGACATAAGGCTCAGGTGATACACTTTATACGGTTACTGAATTTTAGTCACAAACTTCATATTTTTATTGCAATGTTTATAGATACCTCTCACTGGATTGGAATAAATCTGTGTTTCAGTGTAGTTATTTGCTAAACAAACAAAACCTAGCAATGTGAATATACAACTATGAAGCTTTCTGACATGCAGTATTTCAATTTCTTTCGTTTCTCTTAACAGCATGTATTCCGAGCAGCTTTAGTTTGTCCTTTAGAAAGCTGACTTGTTTTATTCAATGATGCATTCTATTCCCCTGGGTAGGTTACATGGGAAGATTTGTATTACCTCTTTGGCAAGATCATGTATTGGGGCCACATCGCTGATGCCTGGGACAGCAGGGTCTGCTGCATTTATCTGCAAGAATTCATCAGCCCACCTGTGGTAAGAACTTTCATATATGCCTGAAGCTCTTAAACATGTGTATAGTATGTTCAATCTAAGAGAAAGTTGTCTTTCAGAACTGGAGCCTTGCGGAGCAGACCACAAGCTTTCTCATCCTTGTGGCCTCGCCTGTATCAAGGTCTTGTCTGGCTGTGGGGAATAAGTTCTCCAACTTGCAATGAGTACAGTGATTCAACACGAGCAGACTCTGTCTGCACGGGTTTGTGACTTGGCATCTTGCTTGTTTAAATATTTTTGCAAGCACCCTTACCTGGCAACCTGAATTCAGTGTTTTGTAACACTGCTTGCAGAGCCAGCTTAATGACATTGGGGGATAGTACATTTAAGTTTCCATTTTCCTAATAAAACTATTCTTTTTTAAGGTGCTGCCATTTAGACAGGTCTAGGTGGGCATAGGAAAGCATCTTTTATGGAACTGCACTTTAGCGAGCGTAACTGGTAGACTCAGCAGTTACAGCAGTCCAGAATGGAACTGTCCTCAAAACTTATGTTTACTCTTTGCAGGTTTTCTTCTCCAGAAAAATATTAAAAAGGAAATATTATCAATTTCCTTGCATTTTCCTGTTTCCAAAATAGGGAAAACACTTTGTAAGACTGTTTCTCATTTTCCACCACCTTCTCACACATCTATTTCCATAGCTTTGTCATATTATTGCCAGCTGATATATACTGAATTATTCAAATTTCACTATTGGGTTTTGGTCCTGGACAGCACTGTGTGTGGAGCATCCATGAGTCCAAGGTGCAAGACTACCAAAGTTGCTTCTAATTAGAAACAAATGTTAGAATCTTTGAGAATACAGAAAGAAAAAAAATGTTGCTTTAACTTTAGTTCTCTATAAGTCTTGCACGGAAACTTACTTGAATCTACTTTCATATACATACATATATACATAATGCGTATGTATATAGAGAGAGGTATGTGCATATGTGTGTATATATAGAAATAAAGAAAAAACCTGTCTGCTTCTCCTAAGCTTCTGAACTAGTCACTTTAGAGAACTGATTGTACACAATTTGCTAAAAAAAACCAAAAGATTTTCCAAGTGCCCTTCCCAGACTTGTTATTTTTCATCATCCGAAGGTAAAAAGCTTATCTGGGAGAAGGAGATAAAAAAATCAAATTAGCATGTTATATGTGAGCAGGCCATTTGCAGAGCCTGGCTAACTTGGAGACAGTGCACTTTTCACCCTTGGCAACGCGGCTGAAGCTGCCTTTTGGTTGTGAGCAAGATAAGCTTGCTGGAGTCTCCTCAGTCCCTAACGAGTGGCTTTCCATATGTCAAAGAGCCACACTCAGATGAAGGCAATTGGAAGTAACTGCTCAGAAGAAGATGCCCAAGAGTAAGTTGCCATGGAGATGGAAAAGCTAAACACCACTGTACTCCTGACCTCGGTGGGGGCTGATTTCTCCAAATGACAGCTGAGGTCACAGGGCCATGATGGGAAGCTCATCCTGCCGGCTCTGGCTCTGCCTCTAGCCTATAGATAAGTAAAGAATTACTACTTCCAGTTTAGGCAGTCCATTAACCTTCACAAGCCTGAACTTTCATTCAAATAATTGTAAAATAAGTATAGGTGGTGAAACCTGAGCAGAATCACTGCTATTTTTATGGCCTTTGG